TGTACTGTGTATATTTATTATGTATATATAAATACACACACATACATGTATATATTTATAAATTATATATATATATATATATATATATATATATATATATAATTTATAAATATATACATGTATGTGTGTGTATTTATATATACATAATAAATATTCACAGTACACACACATATATTATGTAAACACAAACTTTTATTTTGTCAGTCCTAATTCAATCATTCATTCATTCATTCATTCAAAACAAATTAAATAAGATTTTAAGAGTTGTTTTTCTCTCTTCTCCTCCTGTTCTGTCCAATAAAAGTGAAAAAGCTTAACTTTAAAATATGTAGCTAAACATACGGTGTGAAAAGTCCTCAAATGAAGAAAATTCAAAGTATGCATGTCTTTTGAAGTCAATATATTATTGTTTATTTCCATATAATTGGACAGGAATCTATGATTTATCTACTTTGCAGTTGAGTTTGTGGTAGACTGTACGGTGGATCATTGTTTAAATGCTGGTCCATGTGCACTTGCACACTTAATGAACATTAAATTGGCAGGCTTAATAAAACATGCCTTGACAAGAAAACGTCTGCAGTCTGCATGAGGAACAGCATCATAGCGTGACAATCTGAGTTTAGTTACTCTTTATATCAAAGGCAGTCCTTTCCCAAACGCATTCTTCACACACACGTACATTCAAATACACAGCCTGCGACCCCCTCCTTCCTCTCTGTGTTCCTCACGCTATATGACCATCAGGGTGTTCAGGCGTGGTGACCCACAATCCCAGAGGATCACATTCAAGACAAAAGGCCTCTGCAGTGAGAGAGAAGCAGGCCGGAAGAGGCCACTCAAACACACAACACCAGCACATCCTCTGAATGACTTTCTTATGTTACCCTCGCTCTCATTACAGTACAGTATGTACAGTACAGTGGCCTTAGAAAGCATTTTGACATTTAAAAAGTGGTTTGCAACAACTAAAAATATGCTGCTACCAGCTAGGCATCCAATCGTAAGGTGGTCAAACAGGTTTCTGGATTAGTTAACAAGCTAATAAGCATCTAAGACCAGTTAGTGTTCAGAAATACAGCTACAGTCTGGATTTTCCAGTCGAGTTTTAGGGTTTCCAATTAATCATAATAAAACATGTAAACTTATTTTTGTGTTATGTGTTATGTGTTGTTTTAAAAGTGTGCTTGTGTTGTCTTTAATATAAATAAATGTCATTGGCTTGGTATTTTGTTACATTTTAAGTGATTTACTGAATGCCTCCAAATATGCATCATATTAACAGAAAATATTAAACCCTAACAAAAAAAAAAAAATGCAGTTTACACCTAAATACGATTTTGTTCATTTTATTATATATATTTTTTTTATTTTGTTTTATATAAATCTATGAAAGTTATTTTGGAATTGTGTTGTAATTAATTTATGTAATTTATGATTATCATGTACATTCACACAAGACTAATTAAAATAATATCAAGCCCATTTTCACCACATAAGAAAAAAAAATCATGCTTTGGTAAATCATAAATATGGCATAAAAGTCTAAATTATGAGATACTATTTCATTTTTGTGGGAAAAAGTCAAAATTACATATGAATGAAAATCGTTACATAATAAGTCAAAATTATGACAAAAAAATTACAAAAGATTTTGACTCATAGGCTAACTTTTCCCTCATAATTTCGACTTGTTTCATATTTTTTTATGAACTAGTATCTTATAATTTCGACTTTTCTAAGTCATAAGTCTTTTTATGTCAAAATTATGATTTACCAAAGCGTGTGGCGGAAATAAGCTTGTGTACAAATAAAATTTTGTACACTATAATATTTTGTTGTGTTTTGGCTCCACCTTATGGACACTATGTCGAGGCGGGGCATAGAGGACCTACAATAATGTACAGTATTTGAAAAATAATGTGTTTTTTGAACATTAAAGCATGTCAACATATTCTGTTACACAAATACACAAAATAATGATCTTTAAAAAAGCATCATATGACCCCTTTAAAACCTTTAAACGTTTAAAAAATGATGCATTTTAAAATACAGTAGCTCACAAAGAAATGCAAATAAATAAATAAATAAAAATAACTACACGTATCAGTGATATTTAATACGAACTCATTATATAGGCTAACATAATTAAATCTGATATTAATTTTAGTTGCTCCTTTTGTGTCAGTTGCCCTGAAACTGTGGTACATTTGTTTTGGCATTCTCCTTTTGTAAACCAATTTTGGCAGAATGTCTGTAATTTTATTGTACAAAATATTGACAATCATTTTAGTTATGGAAATGTGTATTATTTGGTATCTTAAGAGAACAGCAAAGAAAAGCAGACTCACGTTTACATGATAAATCTTTTTTTTTTTTTTTTTTTTTACAAGCAAAATTTCATATTGGCAAATGTAAGTTCTCCTGAAAAAAATAAAAGTTTTAGGAAGGAAATGAAGCATTACATTGAAAAGTTAATATACGACTTTCTATACCACAACAAGCAATTAAAACGGTGAAAGTTTGTAAAGGTTTTACTAACTTTAACGTTATATAAATTTGTACTTGTATACAGCCGCCTCTTGTGTATAATTGTTTATATTATGTACAATATTTGTCATATACATGTAACTTGTTCTTTAATTTTTATTGTATCCCCCATATGTTCTTGTTCTAATGTCTCTTTCTGATATATATATCTGATATATATTATTTATATATATATATAAAGATACATACACCACGTGAGGAAGTAAAGATAGATGGCGCCACTGAAATCCACGCACACTCCTGCGAGCACGCGGCAGCGTCTTTACGCACGCTCACCTGCAGTGTCAAAGTTTAGAGGTCGGGTAAAGGTCGTGTTTTGAGTTTAACCCCCATCACAAGCAATGGCTTCCATAAGTTGGTTAACATGCAGGCGGTTTTCTTGGCTCGTGCGGCGGCCGCTGCTGCTGCAGTATGTTTGGGCTCCAGCGCGAGCGCTTCACCAGGGGAGCGCGCGACGCGCGGCGGAGAAAACCCCGCTGAACAGATCACGATCATCACCGGAGCAACAGTACTTCACTGAGCTAGACAGAGCTGATGCGCTGGTAAACACAGAGTATTAGTGTATAACAGTACGAGCTAGACAGAGCTGATGTGCTGGTAAACACAAACACAGAGTATTACTGTATAACAGTACTTCACTGAGCTAGATAGAGGTGATGCGCTGGTAAACACAAACACAGACTATTACTGTATAACAGTACTTCACTGAGCTAGACAGAGGTGATGCGCTGATAAACACAGACACAGAGTATTACTGTATACCAGTACTTCACTGAGCTAGACAGAGCTGATGCACTGATAAACCCAGACACAGAGTATTACTGTATACCAGTACTTCACTGAGCTAGACAGAGCTGATGCACTGATAAACCCAGACACAGAGTATTACTGTATACCAGTACTTCACTGAGCTAGACAGAGCTGATGCACTGATAAACCCAGACACAGAGTATTACTGTATACCAGTACTTCACTGAGCTAGACAGAGCTGATGCACTGATAAACCCAGACACAGAGTATTACTGTATACCAGTACTTCACTGAGCTAGACAGAGCTGATGCACTGATAAACCCAGACACAGAGTATTACTGTATACCAGTACTTCACTGAGCTAGACAGAGCTGATGCACTGATAAACCCAGACACAGAGTATTACTGTATACCAGTACTTCACTGAGCTAGACAGAGCTGATGCACTGATAAACCCAGACACAGAGTATTACTGTATACCAGTACTTCACTGAGCTAGACAGAGCTGATGCACTGATAAACCCAGACACAGAGTATTACTGTATACCAGTACTTCACTGAGCTAGACAGAGCTGATGCACTGATAAACCCAGACACAGAGTATTACTGTATACCAGTACTTCACTGAGCTAGACAGAGCTGATGCACTGATAAACCCAGACACAGAGTATTACTGTATACCAGTACTTCACTGAGCTAGACAGAGCTGATGCACTGATAAACCCAGACACAGAGTATTACTGTATACCAGTACTTCACTGAGCTAGACAGAGGTGATGCGCTGATAAACACAGACACCGAGTATTACTGTATAACAGTACTTCACTGAGCTAGACCGAGCTGATGCTCTGATAAACACAGACACAGAGTATTACTGTATAACAGTACTTTACTGAGCTAGACAGCTGATGCGCTGGTAAACACAAACACAGAGTATTACTGTATAACAGTACTTCACTGAGCTAGACAGAGCTGATGCGCTGGTAAACACAGAGTATTACTGTATAACAGTACTTCACTGAGCTAGACAGAGCTGATGCGCTGGTAAACACAGAGTATTACTGTATAACAGTACTTCACTGAGCTAGACAGAGCTGATGCGCTGGTAAACACAGAGTATTACTGTATAACAGTACTTCACTGAGCTAGACAGAGCTGATGCGCTGGTAAACACAGAGTATTACTGTATAACAGTACTTCACTGAGCTAGACAGAGCTGATGCGCTGGTAAACACAGAGTATTACTGTATAACAGTACTTCACTGAGCTAGACAGAGCTGATGCGCTGGTAAACACAGAGTATTACTGTATAACAGTACTTCACTGAGCTAGACAGAGCTGATGTGCTGGTAAACACAGACAGAGTATTAGTTTATTTGTTAAATTACAATTGTTCCTTTTTATATTACACTAATTACGAAAAGTACTGGTGGTACTGTGGTACACTTAGTGGTATTTTATGTTGTCATATGATTATTATATTCATAAAATGTTTTATTAACATTGTATTCCAATGAATGTGATTCTACGATGGTTCTGGTACAAAATTATGTATTATAGGGCTATATAATGTGTCTGAAATTCATGGCATTACCCTGGTATAATACTGCTTGTCAATAATACTATTACTAATAATAATGGTAGTACTGTAAATATTTTTTTCATATTTCATTTATATATTTTTTTTCATTGAGTTAACTGCCAAATAATCTGTTTTGTAGACCCTTATACTATTTTATTTTATTTTGTAGATGCTGCGGAAGTCTCATGAAACAGGTGAGGTCATTTGTCCAGCATTAATGAAACACGAATTAGGCTATTGACATATAGAAAATCCTGTCATCATTTACTCACATCCATGTCTTTCCAAACTATGACTGTGTTTTTCTGTTGTTGTTGTTTTTTTCTTACTTTTTATGGAATATTTTGTCTGCTATAAGTATATTGAAAAGTAGTAGGACTGTCAAGCTCTAAATAAATACATACATACATACATACATAAAGTATCATAAGCCGAAATGTGTTGTACCTTTGTTTAAAGAACAGGCTAAAAATCTGAAAGCTTTTTCAAGATCAGTTTGTGTACAATTTGTGAATTGAGTCAGGTTTTAATTAATTGTTTGATTTATTTCAGTCTAATTCATTTCAAACTGGTCTGTATTATTCAGTCAAGATTATCAGTGAATAATGAATTACATTTCAGTCTATTACTCAAAGTTCTCATATGATGTAATACTTGAAATAAATTGCACAAGTCATTTAAACTGATATTATGTTACTTTTATGGTGTTTTGGGGTCCTTTTGAAGCATGAAATCTTCAGTTTGTTGTAATTTATTGGGAATAAGCAAAAACATTATCATTTTCAATTTGTGTTGAACGGTAAAAGTCATAAGGGTTTGGGACATGAGTGTGAGTAAATGATGCAAGAACATTCATGTTTGGGTGAACTAATCCTTTAACACCCGAAATTCACGGTTTTGTAATAAAGTGCAACAGTTCAAAACCATGAACCAAACCAACCATTTACAAGGTGAATCACAAAATGACAAACTTTGAAATGATTGATTTAAAGTGAAACAAAGGAAAGAAAATTGGACAAAAAGACAAAGGTAGAAAACAGTGTACTTAACTATATTGAAGGCAAGAACTACAATCCCATGAAGCATTGTGAATGATGTAATCAAAATAAAAATTATGAATAAATATAAAACTACTAATTTAAAAGGGGTGATTATAAATATATATAGAAATATTTATTACAAAATATGCATATACTGTGTGTGTGTGTGTGTATATATATATATATTGGAATTATTTTCACCAGGAATTCTGCTGTTAAACATGAATATTAAAAAAAATATAAGTTGAAATACTGTAAACTGATGGCTTAAACAAAAGATTAACAACATCATAGCTGACACAAGGTCTGTCTTTAATGGTTTACAAGTTATCATAAAAAATAAAGTCCCCTGAAAAGAAAATGAATGGGATTTTTTATATCTGGAACTGACTGTTGTGCTCCATACAAAAATATTAAATGATGCTTCAAAAAATTTTTTGATACTTAAATAGCATATTTCCTGCAGTTAAGTACTTTACATCTAGGCAAATAAGCATTTCCCTAAAGCAATTTTTATTTATTCATTTATTTTTTTGCAGGATTTTTGTCCTGGTTCCGGAATGGTCTCCTGGCAATATATTTAATTTATAATGTATAACAATTATGAGTTTTATCATTTAGATTTTTACATTCATCATTTAAATATAAATATATAATTTATAAACGTATTTGTACGTGTAGACATGAACATTAATCAAGATGTTCTGTGAAAGTAAGTAACCAGTTGAACCTTATTGTAAAGTGTACTTTTATAATTCATGGTTTCTACATAGTATAGCATTTTTCCATCTATTTAGGCCTGGTTCAGGATTTATTTTTAAATGATTACCTCACATCTCTCACAATTCATTTCAGATTTCCTGCTCTAGCGGTCGCAGTCTTATTTAATAAAATCACTCCTTGCAGATTTGATAAGAACTTCTAGACGTCGTCTGCTGCCTCGAGGCTCGAGATGTCAGCACATCTTTTCTTTTGTTATGCATGAATCCAAAATATAGATATTGTTGGTACCTTTTTTTCCCAGCATACAGTCGTGCCGTTTGCTGTCTTATGTGTGTAGATATTCTGCTGATGTGAGATGTAGTGTCAGGCATGTGTGTGCGGACCATACAGTCATTCACTCTACTGGAGTGTGTCTATGTTTACTTATCATTGAATCATGCACGCTGCACACTTACAATCAGTCAACTCTAGATCTAGATCAACTCTAGTTTAAATGCTGTTTTTCCCTGTTCAAAGCAAATACACAAATCTTGCTGGACTACAAGAAGGAATAAATCAACCGTGTCATCCAAAATGTCCTTTACAGATTAAATCGTTGTCAATTGCTCATTTTTCCTGTCTGTTATTTTGGATAAATGATTAGTGGTGCTAAAGGTATAATTCAGGTTTTAAACAAGTTAAAAAGTAAAATGATCATTTGTGACCACAAAACCAGTCATAAGTCGACATTCTAATTTATTGAGATGCACCTGTATTTGTAGCAATGGCCAACAATACAAAATTATAGATTTTTTCTTTTATGGCAAAAATCATTAGGATATTAAGTAAAAATGATTTTCCATGAAGATACTTTGTAAATTTCCTACCATAAAAAAAAAAACTTAACATGAATTTATGGATTTAATTGCACTCATGCCACCTCTGATCCTCATTAAATGTCTGAAAATACACCTACATGCCACTTTTGTGTTCTTCTGTGCCACCTCTGTACAAATTAATTTTAATACTGATTTCATTTGATTATTAACTTATTCTTCTTATTCTATTTGTTCTTATTCTGTGGTTTTAATAAGATTTTTTAAAAAGCTTATAAAATAGAATTTTAAAAAAATGTGACATAAAAGATTACATTTAATAAAGTTAGAAAAATGCCATTATAAAAGGTAAAAACTAAATTCCACTGTAAATCACTTTGAGTCAAATATCACCTCGTAATAGGGAAGGCTAATTTTTTATCAAATTTTGGATTATTGATTAGAAGGTGCTCCTAAATTTTTTTGGACAACTTTAAAGGCGATTTTCTCAATATTTAGACTTTTTTGCACCCTCAGATTCCAGATATTAAAATAGTTGTATCTCGACCAAATATTGTCCTATCCTAACAAACCATACATCAATGGAAAGCTTTTTTTATTCAGCAATCTCAATATCTCAATAAAAAAAAAAAGACACTTATGACTGGTTTTGAGGTCCAGGTTCACATTTTACTCGTACCTCAGTTTGTAAAAACATACAAAAAAAAATGCATTTACAATAATGTATTTACAAATCTATGAGGCTCTGTTTTTTTAATATTATTTATATACTATTATAATATTTTAAAAGAGCTTTTTTAGATTTAATTTTAGTTCTGGTATGTGCTTTGTCATTTTATTGTTTTTGTTTTTTTATTAAATATTTCTATTTAGCTTGTACTCATTTTCATTAGATTTTTGGTTTTAGTCATTTTGTACTTCAATTTATTTCAGTTAGTTGCCAGGTCAACCTTTCTAATTTTGGATTAAGATGTATTTAATATATCTATTTTATTTCAGCCTTATTTCAATTACTGAAATGGCTTTCAATAGTTTAGGTTTTCAGTAACAACACTACTTTGGTGCAAGATACTTCAGCAACATAAACACTAAAATACACACATTTGAAATATAATTGGATAAAAATGTAAACATGAATTGTCTAAATATGACACTAGTGAAAGAAATGCTTGCTAACGTTGTTATATATCCATATGGACAGATGAAACAACAATATAAAATTGCACAGTAAATGATTACTGTCCTCAGAAATTTTGCACAGAAGTTTTGCACAGTAAACAGCATAACGTTTAAGTGTTGTGGTTATATTTTAAAAATGGTGTATTTATAATGTTATTGTAGCGCAACACTTGCCTCATAGACTTCCATAGTGCATTACTATAAAATTGATTTCTGTTTGTGACGAAAACACGTCACTAACTTGTGTTGAACCCTGGATAATAGGCCCTGTCCACACGAACGCGGTTATTTTTAAAACCGCAGCTTTTTCTATGCGGTTTGGCCGTTCGTCCACACGCAAACGCAGCACCAGGTTACTGAAACCGTACATTTTTGAAAACGCCGGAAAGCTTTTTTTATTCAGCAATCTCAATATCTCAATAAAAAAAAAAAGACACTTATGACTGGTTTTGAGGTCCAGGTTCACATTTTACTCGTACCTCAGTTTGTAAAAACATACAAAAAAAAATGCATTTACAATAATGTATTTACAAATCTATGAGGCTCTGTTTTTTTTAATATTATTTATATACTATTATAATATTTTAAAAGAGCTTTTTTAGATTTAATTTTAGTTCTGGTATGTGCTTTGTCATTTTATTGTTTTTGTTTTTTTATTAAATATTTCTATTTAGCTTGTACTCATTTTCATTAGATTTTTGGTTTTAGTCATTTTGTACTTCAATTTATTTCAGTTAGTTGCCAGGTCAACCTTTCTAATTTTGGATTAAGATGTATTTAATATATCTATTTTATTTCAGCCTTATTTCAATTACTGAAATGGCTTTCAATAGTTTAGGTTTTCAGTAACAACACTACTTTGGTGCAAGATACTTCAGCAACATAAACACTAAAATACACACATTTGAAATATAATTGGATAAAAATGTAAACATGAATTGTCTAAATATGACACTAGTGAAAGAAATGCTTGCTAACGTTGTTATATATCCATATGGACAGATGAAACAACAATATAAAATTGCACAGTAAATGATTACTGTCCTCAGAAATTTTGCACAGAAGTTTTGCACAGTAAACAGCATAACGTTTAAGTGTTGTGGTTATATTTTAAAAATGGTGTATTTATAATGTTATTGTAGCGCAACACTTGCCTCATAGACTTCCATAGTGCATTACTATAAAATTGATTTCTGTTTGTGACGAAAACACGTCACTAACTTGTGTTGAACCCTGGATAATAGGCCCTGTCCACACGAACGCGGTTATTTTTAAAACCGCAGCTTTTTCTATGCGGTTTGGCCGTTCGTCCACACGCAAACGCAGCACCAGGTTACTGAAACCGTACATTTTTGAAAACGCCTTTTTGTCTTGTGACGTCGGAGCCTGCGCTGTTATCTCCGCCTACTGGAAACTTTTTCAGGCTTCTGATTGGCCAACATGGCTTTACGGTTGAGATTATATCGCCACCTGTTGGTTTGGTATGCTCTTGACAGTGCTTCATAGCATGCGTTTGCGTTTTCACATGGACGGAGTTTTTTTTAAAACGGAACAAGGAAAAACTCAGTTTATAAAAAATACCCGTGTACGTGTGGACATGGCCTAAGCTTCTTCCACTGTCATTCAGATCAGATTTAACCTTCAATGGTGAAGGTTTATATTACTATTAGGGGTTAATGAATTACAACTGTGAAATTGTAGTGACAAAAAGTTGTTAAATAGTAAAAAGTTAAAAACAACGTGAGTGCAATTTGTGTCAGATATCAAGGGCAGGTGGCGTCTCTGGAGGGAGGGATTCACGGTAAACAGACAGACGTGTTGATCTGTATGCGTGTGAGGTTTGTTAATAGCGCCGGGGACTCTGGAACATGTGCGGCGGTTCTTTCATTAGTCGTTCCACTTCTGTTTGTACATCTTCAAAGGGCTGCTTATTTATTTGATTATTTATTTTAATTATTGTCATCCAAAAGATTTTTTGTTGTTGATTTCTTGTCACAGTGGCTGTTGTTGTCATCAAAGACCATGTATGAATCCTCAGAGAAATGATGGCACTTATCTGTCGCCATATTAATGCGTTTAAGAATCGTCGCTGTTTGTTTTGTAAATTCCAGAACACATTTAGAATTTTGTCAGGTTTTCGTTTTGTTTCTTGAGTGTTGAAGAGGTATAGATGATTGTCTTTGCTATATGACTTTTGAACCTGAAGCCTGATTGGCTGATGTTCATACTTCCACCTCTGTCATGCATCTTCACTGTTTTTCCAGTGTGGCTTTTTTTTTTAAATGTATATTTATGTTAATGTGAAATGCAGAACATTCTATTAATGTACTCTTTTAAAACCGATGACATTCATTGTATGTTGATTGTGAGTGTTTATCACGAGGTTACAGACTATTTGTTTATGCATGACCTTCAGTGCTATTTACAGTACATAATGAGTCTATGAATATGTACATAAATGGGGACTATGCAAGCACATTTGTCTCCCGCAATTTCTGAGAAGGACAGGTTTGATGCTTAAGGTGGCGTGAATTCAACACTGCCACTTAAGGTGGAAATGTCATGTTAGTGGCCTTTAGAGGTTAACTTTTGAAACTGTATCGTAGTTAAAGTAGTTACATTACAGTCCAGCTATACTATACATGACAGGTATACATACATACATGACAAGTTACCAGAAAGTAAAAAAGTAAGTCTTTTTAAAAATGTATAACAATAATATAGGCCTATCTTATGTACAAGCAGAGCAGTCTTTATTTTTTCTGGGAATCTGACAGCAATAAACAAACAAATTTCTACACACAGGTAAAGGAGTGAGCATCATAAAGAATTTAACAATTCTGGTTTGATTACTGATTTGTTTGCAACCTTTGAGGCAATA